AAAAGCTGTAGCCTTAGACATTTGAGTAGCCTTTTTGAAAATAATAAAATTGACAAAATCCTGTGCGAACTGTTTCTTGACTTTACCAACACACACCTAACGCCTATCAGGTAAAATGGGCTTATTTTTCTTTCGGGCTTAAACAGGGCTCAGGCCCATTGTAATGCAGGCATGATGAAGAGAAGAGAAAGCAAGTCTACAAAAGAGTAGTAAATTTTAAGCCATCTTCACCCGACACACTACCATCATTAGGCTCGTTAGTCTTGCAACCACATTGATGCCCGCCCACCCACTGGGTGGCCATTTTCCGGCACTACCACCGACGAGGTTAAATTTTGATGACACGCAACTATTTACATGTACAAAACGTGTTATTTAAAAAAATATGTGTGGGAATTATGGTTCTATTTGACACTTGGCATATTGAATTAGTTGGAAGACTAACTAAATTAGTAGTTTTGATTAGATGATAGCAGACTAATGAAATTAGTTTTTGGCATACTGAATTAGTTGGAAGACTAACTAAATTAGCCGTTTTGATTAGATGATAGCGACTAATGAAATTAGTTTATGGCGAAAGACTGATTTAACTAGCAGCTTTGATAAGCGGATTAGATTATATGATAACACTTAGAAGATAGTTGATAGCTAATTGAATTAGATGATGGGGGGAAACTTGATTTCATTAGTAGCTTGATAAATTGATTGGATTAGATTATTATATATGCAAAGTGTTGTGTTTTGCCAAGGTAAATAATCCGTTGTTTCAAACTATACAATTAAGTTCTTTTACAATTAGCATTTTTTTTACTGAAAAGTTATTTCAAACTAGTGATTACCAAATAATTAATTAAAAATTAAAGGTTTTGATGGATGAAACCTCCAATTCATTCATGTAAAAAAAAAAAAAAAAAACTTTGAATTTAATCTCAAAACACTAGAAGACCTATATTTTGATTTGGAGAATTGGCAAAGATGGGATTCTTAGTAATACCTCAATTGTCAAGATAATATAATCTATGAACTGACTTTGGGATTACCCTTTAAATTAAAAACAGGAAATTGGGTATAATATTAAGAAGATTTTTGAAAATGTTGAGGGACGGACGGACTTTGGAGTGAGCCTTTTTTGGACTAGAGAAGGAAAAACTTTTGAGAGAGTTAATATTGGTATTTAAAAAGAGATTCCCGCAGATGAGGTCGATCTCCAGATTCCATAAGGCGTGATGTGATGAGATGAGAGTAGTTGCGCTGCTACAGTTTTCCAAGTAAATTCGGTCAAATGTGCAGCCACAATATTCTCAACCAACAGGTCATGGATTTGAATAGGAATAAGGGGATAAAGGGAAAATCACGTCCACATAATTAGAGCCATCAATAAAAGTTGGAATTTGGCTTCCTAATTAATTGTGACCAAGTGTAGATCATACCGAATGTGAAAATATTTGGGGTGTAAAAGGTACAAATATTACGAGAGTAATGTCATATGATACGGAAGTGGTTATTAACCCCGGAGAGTCCAAGAACAAATCTTGGGAGGACCTCGAAGGATGGCTCGAGAGTGGATTGGAGGAGCCACAAGTGGAGGAATATTGGCCGACTGTTAGGCGTGACTGGCCAAGAGGCTGTGGCAAGAGGACGCAATCGCGCAACAAGAGACGCAAAGCTAAGCGTGCAAAGAAGAGACGCACGACAATTGCACACGACGAGGAAGATTGGGCAGATGCCGAGTGCTACGTGCCGGAAAGGTTAGGAGATTGGTGCAAGGCTTGTGCTAGGAAAAAGCGCGCATGGCGCATGGAGGCTAGGAGGATGGGCGCACGAGGGGTGGAAGATGGGGGAGCATGCGTTCGGGTGATTGCTGTGGGCCAGCGGATGGATACGAAAGCACCGCAACACTCAAATGAACGCAAAACACATAATAAATGACAAAAAGATCTTAAAACCATCTAAACGACTCAATACAGGGGAAAAGGAACGGTAAAATAATGACTAAAAACAACACAAAAATTGAACAAACAGCAGACTTGATCCTCTTCCAGATCTCATCCACCTGCTCCGCAGTCCTACGAATAAACTCCGGACCCATAATCTTCCTCTCCTGACTTGACTATAGTCGAGAAATCTTGGAAAACTAAGTCATGTGACAATCCACATAACATTCATACTTTTTGAGATGAAAAAACTGATGAATTGTTGGTAAGAAAAAACTTATTTTATCTTTATAATTGGGTGGGGGAAAAAAAATCCATACTGAACTGAAAACAAACAGTGGAAATCACCACATATTTTCAACTCATCAACGTTCGATTATTCGATTTCACCAGGCAATACAACTAATACGAGTACAAATTAAAGCTATGATGGATCCTAACACGAATATGCATGTAAGTTAAGTTGGATTAATGATGAATATTGAACTTAGTGAAAATAGTTATTTAGAAGATACACTTAATTTATGACACCACCAATTCAGAATTTATATATAGTGTTACACTTGACATAGTGTGATCACATAATGCAGTGAGTCATGTGGTGTGATTTTTGTTGTATCGTGTAATCAGTTTTTCATTCTGTGTGCCAATTCAACACTTATTATTATGTTTTGCAACCCATAAAGGTAAGGTGCGATCGACTAGTATGTGGCGTTATTCTATTGGTGCAATCATGTGGTGGAATCATATACTGCTATCATACAGTGGTGTGACTATGGTTCCATCATAATCATAGCATTTGATAAGTAAAACAAGTGTGTTCATTCAACTGTGGTGGTATGACAAATATATATATGAGTTTGTTGTTATGCCTTTTAAATAAACATAAGGACAGCAAATATGTCTGAAACTTGAATTTTTTCCCAACTGCACGAGGTTCTAATTCACCATCAAAGATGATGCCTTTGAGCATCAAAAACTATCACAACACCTATATATATATATATATCCTTGACTTGAGTTTCATCAATCTTTTCTTCTACTGCATTATACTTTCCTTCACCATATACCTTCAGCAAAATAACCACCCAAAACAATACTAACTTCTTGCCTTTTCAACTCGACGAGAAACCGGCCCCTTGATCGACCGTCACGTAAACACTCGCCTCCACTGCCGTCTCTGCCTGAATCACAACTCTATTCTCCGACACATTCCTCAGCACGTGTGCCGGAAAACTCCCATCGCTTGAGATAAACGAGTACTGAACCTGCCTGATGAGGTTCGGAAAAACGAGCACCGAGCTAAAATCCACCGCCCACGAGCTGCTGTTCCCGTTCCCCTGCACACCTCCCCTGGCCACCGTCGATCTCAGCCTCATCCCGTTCACATTGTTCCTATCGACCACAACTTGATCGACCCGCGCAAAAGACCCACCCGTTTCATCCAGCTGCACTATATCCACATTCTTTCCCGATCCCGAGAACATATTGTCCACGACATTTACTCCATTAACTATGCCTTTAACCGACTTGAAAAGAACATGAGCATCCCCTAAGAAAAAGCTATTCGTGACGCTGAGCTGGACGGGGTCCTCGGCCACGATACCCGTGAAGTCAAAGTACGAGTTGACGATTCGGGTTTGGGTCAAACCCGGTGTCTTGAGAAAAATCCCCATCCCTCCGAAGCCCGTGGCTTTATTGTAGCAATGCACGCCCGATATAGCGTTGGCTTGTCCCGTCACGAGGATTCCTATTGCGGCTGAGAAAATGACGACATCCGTGACAGCATTGTCATTTCCATGAAGGGCAATGGCCGTGCCGGAAAACTCACGCTCACGGTGATCGCCGCCGGCGGTTGGGATTTGACCGAGGTAGGAATTGCGGATGTACGTTTCGTGGCCGCCGATGGCCGCGATGCCCGTGGTGTTGAAACGTGTCACATAGCAATTGTCGATGGATGTTCGGAGGGAGTTTGAGATTTGGATTCCTCCGCCTCGGGAGTTTGAGTCGAGGAGTAGGTCGCGTAGGGTTACGAACTCATAGTTGTATCCGGAGTTATGGTCGGGGGAGTCGGAGGAGAGGTCGATCAAGTAGCCATTGTCCGGGAAGTCGTTGGCCGCCGTCAGAGATCCGCCGTGTATCTGTGGTGGTTAGTGGTATTAGTTGTGTTATGTGTATATAGAGGAATAATTGGAGATTTAGTTGACACCTAATTGAGAAATAATATGGTGATCGCGTTGACTTTACCAAACACTCTGTGACTGTAAAAAAAAATGTGACTGTAAA